TCATAATAGCTAAAAACAAAACAACCTAAAAGTCCATCGATATGATGAATACATGCGAAGTGAATGAATAAACAAATTGTAGTATATTCATGAAATGGAATACTACTCTGTAAGAATAGAAAGCAAACTACTGATATACACAATAACTTTGGTGAAATTCAAAAGCATTATACTAAATGAAAGAAGGCAGACCAACAGAATATTTGATATATGAGCATATGCATCATTTAAAAAATATGAATTTTTGATGAAAATATAAATTTTCAAAATTGACTCAATAGGAGATAGAAAAGAATAAGAGAGAAGCTAGACTGCTTCCTAAAATTTGTTCTCTAGGTGATTTTTCTCTATTTTCAAGGTACATATAACCTATGTTTTTATAAAGATGGAAAGCTTACTAACTTACTGCATAAAACATTGTTATATTAATTGATAATATAACCTGACTGTCACAATCAGACAAGGCTCATAAGAAAGGAAATAAGATTCATGATTCTTAGTTGGTTGGTCAAAACAATCACCCAACATTGTTAATAAAAATGTATATTTCTCGGGCGCCTGGGTGGCTCAGTTGGTTAAGCGACTGCCTTTGGCTCAGGTCATGATCCCAGGGTCCTGGGATCGAGCCCCGCATCAGGCTCCCTGCTCAGCAGGAAGCCTGCTTCTCCCTTTCCCACTCCCCCTGCTTGTGTTCCCTCTCTCACTGTCTCTCTCTGTCAAATAAATAAATAAAATCTTTTAAAAAATGTATATTTCTCATGTGAATTGACTTTGATAATGCAACCAGCAAAATTCAAACTGTGGGAAACCTTGGACAAACAATCTGGTTTCCTTCAAAAGCAAAGAAATTGCTGGGGAAAAAAAATAGATGGAAAGGAATCTGTAGATTAAATGAGATTTAAGATATATAACAACCATTTTTATAAATCTAATTTGGATCCTCATTTGAATAAGCAAACTTTTAAAAATGGATACAGTACTCAATGCCACTGAACACTCGAAAGTGGTTAACATGGTAAATTTTATGGATATTTCATGTATTTTAGAATAGGATTATTTGAAAAATATCTGAATATATTAAGGAATTACTGTTTTTGGTGTGATTGTGCCATGTGAGTTACATTTTTTAAAGTATCCTCATCTTTTGGAGATATGTAATGAAATATTTGCAGATGAAATTATATGATGTCTTATATTTGCTTCAGAATAGCCCTTGAGGTAAGAAGATAATGGGGGTAAGATGCAAGAAGATTGGCCATGCATACATCTGGGGTCTCTTCACCTTGTATATGTTAGTAACTGTCCATAATATAAAGTTTAAAAATGCTCATTCCTGAGACCAGCACCAAGACGTAATATTCAGTAAATTTGGGTTGGATCTCAGGAATATGCCCATCTGTGGAACCTACTATACCTAAGTGATTCTCATATAGGATGTCCACACGCCTTAACTTGAAAAACATTGCTTTAGGCCAGTCTCTCTTTTGACACATAGATGCCAAAACCTTAAATACCATATTGGCAAATAGTGTATTAAAATAATCACCTATAATGAATAATTAGTTATTCAAGGAATGCAAGGATTGTTCAAGGATAGCAGTCCTACTAATGTAACCGTTTGTGTCAGCAGAATTTGAGATGAGAATTCAGATGATTAATGCGGCTCTAACAAGCAACTACAGAATCTCAATGGTTTCAGGCGGGACAGTTGCTCAGTCACAGGTGGTGTGGGTCCTACAATTCTCCTGAGCAACTCTCCTCTGGGTGATGACTAGGAATCTGGGCTCTTTTCGTTAGGTTGTCTTCATCATGTCAGAATCCTTTCCCTCCAGGCTTGGGGACTAGGGAGATAGAGTGAGTGATAGCATAGGAGATTTCAGGGCTGAGTCACAGAAATGCACATAACACTTTCACTCTTGTTCTATTGGCCACAATCCAAGCTCCTGGGCCTAATCTAATTGCAAGGGAAGCTGGCTAATGTAGTTTTCCCGTGAACCCTGGAAGAGGAAAATATACCAATGACCGCCCAACCAATCTCTGCCACAGAGATTAAAGGGAGTACTCTATGGGGAAGTTCTCTCACTCCCATATTCCGTATCAGGACTCCAACTCTAATTGCCACCAACTTATGGCATTACTTTCATATCTCTGTTGTCACTTTGAATCTAAGGAAAAAGGAAGCTGTAACCTTTCAAAAGTTATTAAGGGAAAATTCTGTAGTCATCCTGATAGTGGTGATTTAAAGCAAATTCCTCATTTACAGCCAAAACAAAACAACAAAAAATTTTAATGCTTTTTTCTTTTAGTTTTTATTATTTATCCATTTATTTGATAGAAAGAGAGAGAGAGAAAGCAGGGGAAGGAGGAGAGGGAGAAGCAGCCTCCCCACTGAGTAGGGAGCCCAGTATGGGCTCGATCCCAGGACCCTGAGTTCATGACCTGAGCCAAAGGCAGACGCTTAACCAACTGAACCATCCAGGCACACTTAAGACTTTTTTTTAAAGCAGTTTTACATTCACAGCAAAACTGAGTGGAAGGTACAGAGATTTCCAATATACCTCCTGCCCCAGCACATGCATGGTCTCCCCCATTATCAACATCTCCCACCAGAGTGATAGATTTACTATAATTGATGATCCCACATCGATACATCATAATCATCCAAAGTCCAGAGTGTACATTACAGTTCATCCTTAGTGTTGTATTTTCTATGAGCTTGGACAAATGCATGACATGTAACCATCATTATAGTATCATACAAAGTATTTTCACTGCCCTAAAAATTCTCTATGGTCTGCCTATTTGCCAACCTCCTCCCCTCCCCCTATCCCTGGCAAGCATAGTCTTGTCTCCATAGTCTTGCCTTTTCCGGATTGTCATATAGTTGGGGTCATACAGCATGTAGCCTTCTCAGATTGGCTTCTTTCACTTAGTAATATGCATTTAAGGTTCCTCTGTGTCTTTTCATGGCTTGATAGCTCATTTCTTTTTAGCACTGACGACTACTACATTATCTGGATATACCACAGTTTATCCATTCACTTACTGAAGGACATCTTGATTGCTTCCATGTTTTGGCAGTGATAAATATTAGAGCTGTTATAAACACCTGTGTGCAGGTTTCTGTGTAGACATAGTTTTCACTTCTTTGCATAAATACCAAGGAGCATGATAGCTGGATCATATGGTAAGAGTATGTTTAATTATACAAGAAAACTCCAAACTCTCTTCCAAAAGGTATACATTTTGTATTCCCACTGCAGTGAATGAGAGTTCCTGTTACTCCACATCCTCTCAATCATTTGGTATCAGTGTTCTGGATTTTGGCCCTTTTAATAGATACGTAATTGTCTCTTGTTTCATTTTGCATTTTCCTGATGACATGGATGTAGAGCATCTTTTCATACACTTATTTGTCATCAATATATTCTTTGGTAAGTTGTCTGTTAAGGTCTTTGTCCCATTTCAAAGCAGGTTGTTTGTTTTGTTATTGTTGAGGTTTTAGAGTTCTTTGGATAATTTGGATAATAGTTCTTCATCCAATGTGTCTTCTGCAAATATTTTCTTCCAGTCTTTGCAAAGGAGATAGGTCCCTACAGACAACAGTTGCTGCAGTGGCTTTCTGATGCCCAGTGTAGGCTGATAGTAGGACACATTGAAACAGTAGGTCCAGATTCCCCAGTTTCTGGATTGCAGCAGAGAAAGCTCTTTCCTTGGCAGACCAGTTTTCAATGTTGTTTTGGGAGTCATTCCTGGTAGCTCAGCCTATAGTCTTCATTTTTACATCAAGTGTGTTAAGCACTTAATCCCCCAGATTAAGCCTGTTTAAGATAGCTGGAGGGCTTTCTGTTTTTGTGACTGAATCCCAGTTGATGTGATTGCTAGGTGAAAAATGCTGGCCGTTGAACATGATGTCCCCTTCTGATGGCAAAACTAGGTGTGACTCTTCCTGCCCAACCCACTGAAATAACAAAGAGAACTGAGGAGAATGTGCGAGTAGAGGAGGAAGAGAAGTGTTGACCGTCACACTAAGTAATCACTATTCTCTACCACTTCTCTTTCTGCAATAAATTTATAACAAGTAATTACACATATTTGCAAAGGCTTTGGACTGAAGGTCAGCTTAGCATGATAGTTAAGAGCATGTAAACAGGATAATAATAGTACTAACTTGATAAAGTTAAATTAGTTAATATAATGCACTTAAAACAGTGCTTGGTACCATAGTAAGCACTCAATAAATATTAGCTATTATTATGTGTATTCCTTAGTAAGTGTTTAACCTGTGTTTGAGAATTTGTTAGCTCAATGTCTAAATAAACTCTCTATAGCTATGATTAAGACCTAGTCTTAAATAAAAATAAATTTAAAAGTCAATAGCTGAGGCTCCTGGGTGGCTCAGTTGGTTAAGCATCTGCCTTCGGCTCAGGTCATGATCCCAGAGTCCTGGGATTGAGCCTTACATAAGGCTCCCTGCTAAGCAGGGAGTCTGCTTCTTCCTCTGCCCCTCACCCTGCTTGTGCTCTCTCTCTCTCTCAAATAAATAAAATATTACAAAAACAAAAAATCAATAGCTAACTCCTTATTCTTTGCAATACCTATAACACAAATGCCTGTATGAAAAGAGAAATTGGGGGGCGCCTGGGTGGCTCAGTTGGTTAAGTGTCTGCCTTTGGCTCATGTCATGATCTCAGGTCTTGGGGTGGAACTCTGTGTCAGGCTCCCTGCTCAGCAGGGAGTCTGCTTCTCCATCTCCCTCTGCCTCCCCCTCCCCCACTTGTGCTCTCTCTCTCTCTCTCTCTCTCTCTCTCCCTCTCAAATAAATAAATAGAATCTTAAAAAAAAAGAAATTGGCATTATAAGACCATTAATAGTTATTCTATCATTCTTTAAAGTGTCTAATATGTTCTAGCATTACATTCATTGCCCTAAATTGTTACTATATACAGGGATGACCTGAAGACTATGACAATTTTTTTTTATTTCATTTTTTTAATTAGAGAAAAGCGGTTACAGGAATGGAAAGCTCTTAGGAAAAAACAAAAATTTGGGGAATTAAGAGAAATTTCTGGAAATCAGTATGTGGATGAAGTCACAAATGCAGAAAAAGATCTATCAGTTATAATTCATTTATACAGATCAAGGTAATTACCATAGCGTTTTTGCAAAATGTTAATATACTAATGTTTTAAGATATTTATGTATGGTTTTGAGGTTTTATAAAGCATGTAACAAAGATTATTCAAGAAAAGAAAGCATATATATATATACACACACATACATATATACATATATAATGTTAAAAAACAGAATCCAACCAAGTAAATTTGAAGACCTAATTGGTTTTATTAAGTGATTAATGAATCAGGCAGCATCCTATCCAGGTAGAGGGAAGTTCCAATGAGGTGTACAAAATGGAAGGTTTTTATAGCAAGGAGGGTGGGACTTTTCTTAGTGAAAGAAAAGAAAGGATTATTCAGGCAAGGTCACCTTCTCTTAGGGGGAATGGGAGGGGAGTTCTTATTAGATTCATTACCTCATCTCCTTTGGGGAATGGAGAGCTCATGTGACAGATTACTTCATTTCGTACTGACCAGAAAATTCCAGATTGATTGACTTAAAATACCACTCTGGAGAGGTTGAAACTGAAATTAAGTCTTTGCTGTCCTGGGAGCAAGTAACTCCACCTTGGGCCTTGTGGCTTTCTTTTTAACATATACATAAATGTAGAGAGTAATGGGCTTCAGGGATTAAGTTAGGTTTTTTATTATGTTTTCATGTCTAATTTAAAGAACTTGTCACACTTTTTAGAAAAATAGCATTCTTTCAGGGTGCCTGACTGACTCAGTCAAAAGAGCATTCAACTCTTGATCTCAGGGTTGTGAGTTCGAGCCCCATGTTGGGTGTAGAGATTACTTACATAAATAAACTTTAAAGAGAAAAAAAAACACTTTTTGGCCGTTAATTTTTTTTTAACTTACTATGGAAATTTCAAACATTCAAAAAAGTAGAAATAATGATAAGATGAACACCCTAAATACCAGCTGGGTAGATTCAATAATGAACATTTTGCCACTTTTGTATTTTTTTATTTGTATATAGCTATGTGGATGTGTTATATTTGCAGAATCATTTCAAAGTAAATTATACACAGCATACACCTTTATTCCTGAGTACTTCAGCATGCATCTTCAAAATATAAGGGCATTTTCCTATATAACCATAATACTGTTTTCTCAACTAACAAAATTAGTAATAATTCCAAAATTAATAATAATTGACAAAGGATCCAGTCAAGGGTCATGCAGTGCATTTGGATAGATCATGTCTTTTAAGTCTCTTTTAACAGAACAATTCCCTTGTACTCCCCTATGCTCCTAAAACAATTTATAGTGCCTACTTGTACTAAGCATAACCCAAATGTCCCCAGACCTTACCAGCCTGGTATATGATAATTGGGTAGAGTGGACTTTTCCCCAACTCTGTGCCACAGACACACTGCAAGCTCCCAGGGTTTCACAAATCTCTCTAGCATTAGGTCCCAGCTACCCTGCCTGGGCTCCACGCCACTCCAGGAACAGAGGCCATGCCAGTTTCCTCCTTGTGTTCATCTCATTCTCTGAATAAAAAATTTCTTCTCTCTTCAGGTCCTCACAGAAACTCTGCACAAGAGCAATTTATGCAAATTAGAGCCCCGCTGTTTACCAGCTCACCAGTTCCTCAGACAAATTTTGAGAGGACACCATGTCCCATTAAAGAAGACATTACTGTTATTGTAACTAAAATGCTTGGAAACTAATTTTTGAGTAGTTTAAAGCCTTAAAAAGAATCATTTCCCATTTTTCCTATACCACTTATCTGGTTAAACCAATTGGTAAATGCTGCTGATTTTGGTTCCTCACAAGTAAGTATGAGAGACACTGACATTTACAGTAATGGGATTTGTGTATGAGAAATGTTGTATACTGAAGTGATTCACTGAATATCTTTTTCTGGGACCCAGTATGATTGGCAGAATAGATGTTGGTTCTGAATGCCCATACCACAGCACAAAATTACTTACTTTAATGGTTATTTCTAGAGAAAGGATTAGGTTGGAAAATTTCAAAAATTCATGAAAGAGATCGAATGTGTTATAGTTTCAGCTAGGCTGTTTCAAACTCTCATTTCCTCTGATGGACTCAAAGAATAAGAATCTTCTAAATAATATTTTAAGTATTTGTGATCCCAGAAGATTTTCTGAGGGGCAATCAATCTAAGATAGTTACATAAAATATTTGTTTTCTTGACATTAAGAAAATGCATTTATGTGTTGGTATAAAACACACATTTTAAGAAAATTAATCTATAATCAAATTTATAAAACAGAAAATAATTACTTGTGTGACAAATAGTCCTTAGAAAAGTCTAGTTTTTAATAATGGATTGACTCATAACTTTTCATATTGTAGAGTAGAATATAACTGTTAAATATATTTGTGTTTCTAGCTGCCTTCTATAAATTTTATAGGAACAAAAGAGTTTTTTTTTTTTAAGATTTTATTTATTTGAAAGAGAGCATGAGAGAGCATAAACACGGGGGAGATGCAGAGGGAGAGGGAGAAGCAGGCTCCCCACTGAGCAGGCAACCTGAGGCAGGGCTCCAACCCAGGATCCCAGGGTCATGACCTGAGCCCAAGGCAGATGCTTAATGGACTGAGCCAACCAGCTGCCCCAAGAGTTTGTTTTTTAACTAGGTTCCTATGTTCTGTAATTTTAATGTCTTTTTGCCATTAAAATTATAGAACTTGGCCAACTCTTCATCCAAGTGAAGGCTCAGCTGGCCCAGTGTCCCCTAGAGGGATCGAATCACCCTGGGCCAGTGAGCTTAGTGGTTAAGCTTCAGGGCAGCCTTGATTCTGATTTTATTCAGTCTTACACCTGTGCCCAAATTCCAATTTTGGGTTTTTACATCATTCCTATGCCAAATGTATATTTTGAGGCTTGAATACCATAACTAGGCCCTTATCTCATGTTCTGATGCAGAGGTCTCCCTTATATTTTATAGTTCTTCTGGAGTTAAATTCTGGCCCCTAAACCCCAACACCAAATTTGTTCCCTTACCACTTGCTGTCAGATTGTCTTCAGGCAACCACTTTGTCTCTGCACTAATCACATAATCTGTTACACCATACTCTCTTAATTCTACACTTTTCACTATCACCATCAATGTCCACCTACCTTCTGCCATTCACCCCACCTACCCCGTAAGTGTCTGTCATACCACTGACTCAGCTCTCATTCTGACAGTATGATAAAATTCCTTTAAGTTAGATATTAGTGGATTCATTTCACTATTTGAGGAAAATTGAAACTTATAAAGTCAATTTATGTTAATTGCTTTGTGTGGAAAATTGATATTTAAGTTAGGCAGTACATACTTTTCTAATATTAAAGTAGGTCACCCACTAAAATAAAGCAGTATCTAGATTTGTAGTAGGTTGTAATTATGAAACTAAATGATGTTATATATTCTGAAATATAAGTTAAATGTATAATGCATTAAATTTCTTGCTCTATGAATTGATATATAACATTGTCTACTATTAAGAGGATTTCTGAGGATTTTATAGATGCTGGAGATGCAAAGGCATATAAAACATCTGTCTATGCCATCAATATAGTAGAGAGAGAGACAACTAGACATAATAATAAAGTCTCTTAGGTGCTACAGTTGAATTATGTACACAGTAGCGTGGAAGCACTGAAGAGGGAGTAGTAAGTTTTATGCTTGGAGGAAGGAAGTATGGAACTTTCTACAGAGTATGTAATTCTTGATCTTGGCCTCAAAAAATAAGATTCCCCAAAGAGGAAGTAGACAGGATTAATGGAGTGTGTTAGATGGAGTGTCCAGCTGAAGAAAGATACAGAAATAAGATGGCATTTTGCTTTGGAGAGCTTTAAGTAATATGGTAGCAGGCAGAGAAGAATGCTAGAGAGACCACAGAGAACCTTGAAAGCTATACGGAAGAGCCCAGACTTCATCCTGAAGGCAGCAAGGAGCCCTTGAGGAATTTTAAGCTTGAAGGAAGGGCAGTTGTTACCTGGTGAGATTTTCATTTTGAGCTCCCTTTGTCAACAGGATCAAGGATGAATTTGGGAAACCAAGACTGGAAACAGACCCTTAGGATAATCCGATGAAGCTCAGATAAGAAAGGAAAGGAGTAAGGTAATGGAGAAAAAGAGGAGAGGTTAGGTATGAGATAAGGAAGTAGAAGCAATATGATGTGATTACCGATTAGATGTTGTAGAGAATAGGGAGATTTTTGGCCTCAGTGCCAAACTAAGAAAATACAGAAGAAATGTATAACATATACAGATACACATTTTTTTCCTTTGAGGGAAGAGAGGAGATGAAATTCATCAGTGTTGATGTCAGAATGGATAAGATTGCACAGTGAATGTGTCTAGTGTGAGAAGGACACAATCACATAGAACATCTACATTTGAGTCATAGAAGAAGGCAGTCAAAGAAATAAAAAGGAAATTAATAGAAAGTGCTATCGCAGCAGCTCTTCCTGCCCACGGGTCCTGTCCCTGTGCTTTAATAAAACCACCTTTTTTTTTGCACTGGGGGAGAAAAAAAGTATAATCAAAAAAGCCAAAAAAGAGGGAAAACCTTTCAATAAAGGAAGTGAATGGAACATAGAGATTATTTCCCTTTTTATTTGGGCTATGAACAGGAGAGTAGTTATTTGAAGGAGACACAGTTGTAAAGAACTTTAAAAAAAAATTAGTAACTTAAATATATTTATAGAAAGTGGAGAAGATTGAAAAAAAAAACAGGAAAAGAGAGAGCAAAATAACAGAGAAAGGTCCCATGAGAAATGAGTATGGGATGAAATAAAGGATTGGCTCTGAAACAGTTTGATAAGGCTGTGAGTGAATGATAGAGAAAAGGAACTAATTGAAGAGTGGGTATATTGGGAGTCAAATTGACAAACAGCAGGAAGAATTGTAGGTTCTGGTCACACTTCCAATCAATTTTTTTCAGTTTATTTATTGTTAGTAATCTCTATACGCAACATGGGGCTCAAACTTATGACCCCAAGATCAAGAGTCACATGCTTTTCCAACTGAGTCAGTCAGGTGCCCCTTAAATATCTGATGGGGAATAGTTCTGGATAATTGGGAACAAGATGCTGCATGGACTGGGATGTCAAAAGTGTGGGTGAAGTATGTCAGAGTCAAGAAATTCAAGGATGTTTGTGGGGCGCCTGGGTTGCTCAGTGGTTAAGCGTCTGTCTTCGGCTCAGGTCATGATCCCAGGATCCTGGGATCAAGCCCCGCATCAGGCTCCCTGCTCGGTGGGAAGCCTGCTTCTCCCTCTCCCACTCCTGCTTGTATTCCCTCTCTCGCTGTCTCTCTCTCTCTCTCTGTCAAATAAATAAAATAAAATCTTAAAAAAAAAATTCAAGGAAGTTTGAGATGAGACACTTTGGATGTCATATTCTCATGTGGAAATAAGGCCAAGGTGGTGGGGTGATGGAAAGAGTTGGAATCCCTTGTTTCAACTCAGAACTGCCAAGGATTCCCTAGAAATGTGCTGTGTTGTTTTGTTTTTCCTGGGTCCTATAAACTGGGAACTAACTTGATTAAATTGATGCTAAGTCAGATGTAGATAGCCTTAGTTAGGCATCAAATTCCCATGATAGCAAGCTTCACTCCCAGGCTATAATAGTGTTTACAATAAATATGGGTGGACTCTGAAGTTTATCATTACTAAAGGTAACAATAGAGGATGAGAGCTGATAAGCTGTTATATCAAAAGAATATCCGAAGAGGGGCACCTGGGTGGCTCAGTTGGTTAAGCTTCAGGACTCTTGGTTTCCACTCAGGTCTTGATATTATGGGTCAAGGGATTGGACTCTGCACTCAGCAGGGAGTCTGCTTGAAGATTCCCTCCCTCTGCCCCTCCCGCCCCTCATATACCCTCTTTCTCTTTCTCAAATAAATAAATTAAAAAAAAAAAACCATATCCAAAGATACATTTTTTTGTCATGGGGATGTTTCACTTACTTCATTAGACTGAGATAAGTAGTCTGTTTTTAAAGATATTGTGTACTGTTTCTCTTTTTAGCATCCCAATGTGTTTGTTGGTTAACCAGCATCTTAGTCTCCTAGCAAGAAAGTTTCCAGAAACTAAATTTGTTAAAGCCATCGTGAATAGCTGTATTCAACACTACCATGACAATTGTTTACCAACAATTTTTGTTTATAAAAACGGTCAGATAGAAGGCAAATTCATTGGAATTATAGAATGTGGAGGAATAAATCTCAAGCTGGAAGGTAATGATATTATTTTTAAAATGTTTATTTAAAAAAACAGGTGAAAACTTCCATAAATTAACAAGTATCATGAAAGTTTATTTCCATAAAACATAAGTTGTTTTCCCTCCCTTCTAGTCTCTTCTTGTATGCCTCCAGATTAATTTTCCTAATAATAATACTCTTATTACAACATCTACTTGCTTAAATCCTTAATGGTTCCTTGTGTGAAATAAGTTAAAAATACAGAATCTTCTGCTTGAAAATTTCAGCCCACCTATCCAACTGTATTACTCAATGCTTTCTAGTTTCTGCTCCAGCCAAGCTGTTCTTCAACCACTACTGCAGAAACCCCTTATTCACTTATGCCTTTATTCTTTGTCTCATACTTGTTCCCTGTACCCAAAATACTCTACCATTCTTTATTCTCTCTCTCATACCCTATTTTTTTGTGGTTCTCCTAGGTTTCCATTTCTCTCATTATGTCATTTTGGACCAGTTCATAATCTTGTCTTCCTCTTCTCTACTAAATTTCTATAGCATATTTTCTCTATACAATTTATTTTTCACTTGTCCATGTACTATCCGATTTTGTCAGTTAATTCCCTTTATTTTCTTTTTTCATAGCACAGTATTTATAATTTTAACTTCTTTAATAATTTTTACTTGCTAACCTACTTCTAAGGCCATATCCTTGATCTAGTCATTTCTTGGAACTGCTTTAATCTATATTATTAAAATCTTCTTCTCACACCATCATGTGAAAGCCATTGAACCTCATTCTTTTAATTAAAAAAATTAATACATAAGAGTACAAACAATAATATAGCAAACATTCATGTAATTGATTACTGCCAAAAATAACAAATGTGAACATTTATTCATTTGCTTGAGCTATTTGTTTGTTTGTTGTTCAAATAAACATTACAGATATAGTTGAAGTTATGTATAGTTTCATTCCTAGTCCCATTCCCCTTCCTGTCTCCTTACAGGCAATCACTATGATGAATAGTGTATTACCTGGCCCATATTTGGGGGGGGGGTTGGTGTTTTTTTGAAAAATTTAAACAATTTTTTAAATTGTTGTAAAATACACATAATATGAAATTTATCATCTTAACTATTTTGAACTATAGTTACCATGCTGTACATTACGTACCCAGGACTTATTTATTTAACCATTTTTAAGTATATAGTTCAGTTGCATTAAGCACATTCACATTGTTGTGCAAGAATCACCACTATCCATCTCTAGAACTCTTTCCATCTTGCATAACTGCAACTCTATACTCACTGAACGATAGCTCCCCATTCCCTTCTCCTCCAGTCTTGGCAAGGTTTCTGACTCCATGAATCTGACTACACTCAATACCTCATATAAGTGAATCATACAGTATCCTTTTGTGACTGGCTTATTTCACTTAGTATAATGTCCTTAAGTTTCATTCATTTTATAGCATCTGTCAGAATTTCCTTCCTTTTTTTAAAGATTTTATTTATCTATTTGAGAGAGAGAGTACATGAGAGGGGGGAGGGCCAGAGGGAGAAGCAGACTCCCGGCTGAGCAGGGAGCCAGATGCGGGACTTGATCCAGGGACTCCAGGATCATGACCTGAGCCGAAGGCAGTCGCTTAACCAACTGAGCCACCCAGGCGCTGAGAATTTCCTTCCTTTTTAAGACTGAATAATATTCCATTTTATGTTTGGACCACATTTTGTTTATCCATTCATCTGTCCATGGACACTTGGGTTGCTTCTACCTTTAGGCTTTTGTAAATCATGCTGCTATGAACATAGGTGTACAAATAATCTGTTCTAGTCCCAGTCTTTTGGGTATGTATTTGGAAGTAGAATTGCTGGATCATATAGTAATTCTATTTTAAGTTTTTGAGAAACAGCATACAGTTTTGCATAGTGGCTGCCCCATTTTACACTCCCACCAACAGTGCACAGAAGTGCCAGTTTCTCTACATCCTCACCAACACTTGTTGTTTACTCTGTGTGTGTGTGTTTTGTATAGTAACAATCCTAATGTATGTGAGGTGTTTTCCCCACTGATTTTTAATGTTTCCTAATGTCATTTTTCATGGTTCCAAAAATGCTTCAATTTATTTCTGAAGTCTTTACTATTTGTCTATCCCTGAATCAATACAGCACTGCATTTATTACTACAGCTTTATAACAAATCTACAGTTGTCTCCAGCAGGGCAAATCTTTTTCAGAATTTCATGTGAATGTTGGAATTAGTCCACTTACATGAAAAATCCTGTTGATTATTAGAATCATATTTATAGATGATTTGTTGGAGCCTTGATATCCAATAACAGTGGATGTTCCAATCCATGAATGAGATATATCTTATCACTTATCTTAGTCTTTTGTTTTTTGTAATTTTCCTCAGAGATATATATATTACATTTTGTAACATATTTTATAATTTTCCTCAGAAGTGTGGTTTGTAGTTTGCCTCATAAATGTTCTGTTCATCCATACAGTACTTAGGAATAAATTTAACAAAATTATGAATTTATAGGGACTGGGGTTTTTGGTTATCAGTTCAATTCTTTTGGTTTCTTTCTCAGATATATTTTGGTAATTTATATTTTTGTTAAAATTTTCCTGTTGAAGTTTTCACATGTCTTGGTATAACTTTTTCATAGTGTCATAGCCATATTGGAATCTTTACCTTGGTTATGTCCCATGTAAATTCTTTATATGAATTGATTTCTTTCCTTTGGTGATCATTTTTGCTGAGGTATGTCTATTAGTTTCTTCAAAGAATGAGCTTTTGATTTTGTCGGTCACCTATACTGATTTTGTTTTTCTACTTTTGCTAATAAGTCTTTTCTTCATTATATTACTCTTTCAGCTTTTCTTGGGTATACTTTATTGTTCTTTTCCTAGCTTCTTGATTTGAACTTTTAAGCCATTTATTTTTAGTCAATTTAAAATAAACATTTTCGCCATAATTTCTCCCTTTAAGTATAACTTTGTTGTATCCAATATGTGTTTTGATATTGCAGTACTTTCATTGTCACTCAGTTCTAAATATATCCTCATTTACACATTAATTTTATTAGCATCAATTACTATTTCACATAGATGAGGAGTTATTTTCATTTTCCAAGATTTTTATCTGATTTAATGATGGGTTATTTATTGCAGAACTTGAATGGAAACTAGCAGAAGTTGGAGCAATACAGACTGATTTAGAAGAAAACCCCAAAAAAGGCATTGTAGATGTGATGGTATCTTCAATTAGAAACACTTCTATTTATGATGACACTAGTAGTTCAAACAGTGATAATGATGATACCAAATAGAAATATTTAATAAATAGCTGCAAATTATTTACTGAATGTTTTTCACTGCCTTTATAATCAGAGATCAGAAAATTTATGGATTTATTTTCATATTTATATTAGAATGATAGCTTATATATCATTTCAAAAACTTTCAGGTATTTCAGAATATTTATTGCCTCCAACCAAAGCAGAATTTGTACTGAACCCTTAATATTTTTCTGTGGTTTATCCTCTTTTTGACCCATGTTGGATAAGAGCACCAATATTACAAGTCCTCTGTGTTGCTTACTCACAAAGAGGCCTATGAATGAATATAATGAAAGATGACCATGAAATTTCATTTCATTTACATCAATAGATTTTATTTTTATTTTCTTTTTTCTTATTTTTTTTAAAGGATTTTATTTATTTATTTATTTATTTGACAGAGAGAGAGAGAGAGAGCACAAGTAGGCAGAGGGAGAGGGAGAAGCAGGCTTCCTGCTGAGCAGAGAGCCAGATGCGGGGCTTGATCCCACATGACCTGAGCCAAAAGCAGCCACTTAACCGACTGAGCCACCCAGATGCTCCTATTATTATTATTTTTTAAGTAGGCTCCACACCCCATGTGGGGTTTGAACTCATGACCCTGAGATTGAGTCACATGCTCTACTGACTAAACCAGTCAGGTGCCACTATATCAATAGATTTTAAATTCTATTATTTAGGGGCCTTGAGTGAAAATACTTAAATTTATGACCATACATTTTTTCCTGGAAACCTCTTACCTGTTAAAAAAGAAATTAACCACTCAATAGAAAAATACAATTTAAGGATTCTGAAAAGTACATAAGAAACACCTGTACTCATTATTATTGTTTTTAATAGTTTTTTTTAAAGATCTTATTTATTTATTTGAGAGAGAGAATGAGATAGAGAGCATGAGAGGGGGGAGGGTCAGAGGGAGAAGCAGACTCCCCGCTGAGCAGGGAGCCCGA